CTCATTAAATTAGTTACGACACACAAAATAAACGGTTTTCCTGTGCATGAATCATATTCTTGTAATATCGCCTTTCTATTGCCTGAGTTATTATAATCGTTTATGACTTCTACTAGACATTTAAACATTGAAGTACCATTGCGATCACCAAGCGACGTTTCATGATATTTTTGAAAAAGCTTAGCGATATAATCATAATCAGGATTAGTCATCCAGTCAGCAAGTAATACTAAAAGTTTCTGTTCATCCGTAGCGTTAAGGTAAAGGGCATCTTCGTATACATACATTGCTGATGCGGAAGAGTGATCATCTTTGAAAGTTCCAAAATTTTTTGGTAAATATCCACATTGACATGTCGAAAGCTTAACGATTCCGCAGAATTGACAATATGATTATGAGTGAATCGTAAGTTAACTTCCAGGGGATAGCTCAATTCAATGCAATTCTCTAGCCAAATATGAATAGTAGCTGTACAATGTGTATTTCGTAACCGGGATGATTGTGGGCGTTTTAATTCACGATTCCCTTGTTTTTTCTTCACTAAATTACTGTGAATACAATGTCTTTTCTCGCGAAAAAGAACCTTCTTTCCTTTGATTTGATAACGCCTAGATTCTGGCATTGTTGTTTTGACTTGGATTCAAATGACAAAACCCATTCACATACTTTATCTTTATTGTTAATATCTACGAATACGTCCAGCTCAAATTGTGGAATTGTAAAATTTTCAGCAGTTTGATATGATGGTAGAACGTTAAAGTTTTTGATTAAATAGGAATAATGTGAAGGGAGGATTGATTTTAATAATTCAGGGAGAGAATCCCATGAAAAGAGCTAAATAAATACAAACATTTAAAATTAAATTATGATTGAATTCAATACTATTTAATAAAATAATAGAATAATAATAACAAAATACATTATATAACGTTATATAATAAATTATTAAATTAAACAATAAACTAATAAATTCTATTATGCATGACAAATTAAAATTACAATTAACACTATACTGTATATAAAAAATTAGAACACTATCATATTCTCGTAAAGTAAAATTAAACTTTATATTAAATTAAACTCTATATTAAAAACTTTATATTAAACTCCATATTAAATAAACTCTAATATAATTAAAAATGTAACAATATACCTATTTTACTCAAAATCTCATTTTTTTTCTCTTTTAACTTATATTTCATGTGTATAATATACTCTTTACACTTTTAAAACAAAGAAAGCTTTGAAAGAAAAGTATGCAAGATTTACTTACTTGTGGGCTATTTTGTGCTTCGACGTCCATCTTATTTATGTACCTACTGTGGTTTAACGAATCATAACTTGAGCTGTGTAACTTGATTTCTTTGTAATAAAATTGGCTATTGGAAAACTTACCAAATAAAAAAAAGACTTTAAAGTGTTTAAAGTAGTCCTACTACACTTCTGAAGTATAAAAAAAACTTTTTTCTTTATTCTATTTGAAAGAAAGTGTGAGAGAAAAAAGCAAAAAAAACTAGCGCTATATGGAGAGATGTTTATCAGTATGATACGATGATCACGAATTTTCTGATTGGTTGTATCACGTGATCAGATACTGTGGTGCAGTATATGCACCGTCAACCTGACACACATTTCAGACGTGCAAAAATCATGTGATATGACGTCATTTCGACTATTTCGCAACTTTATCCTTCAATGATCGAAATGATTTTGAAAGGGTCTCGCCGCTCTATCTTAGTTGGTAATAACTGAGACCTATTGTAGGTTACACTGCAATAGACCCTAGTTCAGCCCTTGGCCAAAGCAGATTATAATAATTTAATTTACGAGATTTACCAGTTCAATTCCCAGAATGAATTTCATAGGATACGTACAAACCATGTACGTTAAAGATCACAAATTTGTAGAATATGGTGATCCTGAGATATCTATAAGGTGTGATGGTAGCTATCACCAAATGGTGTAAGTTCACTTCGTCTAGATCCATACCATCCTGACAATAGGTAGTGGTAATAGATATTCTCACCTATCGTGAACCAATTGAGTTTGAAACCAATAGTAAGAGCTGGTCTGTAATAGACAAGTGCCATATCGTCTGCAAAGGGTACCCGTGAGGGTAGGTTAATGGTAGGCATTGAATAATCTGGATTAAACAATAGTCATAGGTTATAGGTGGTTGATATTGCACTGTCTTCAATCATCGTGATGTCTATATCACAACTAGGGTTTGAAGGCCTAGGTTCAATTCTTGGGGTGATTTTGACGTATGGTGAGGCAACTATGGTGTAGGCTATCATCTTAGGTTGTTCTTGACCCTCTTTCCAGTAGTTGTGATGAATAGTGAATGATGGCTGGGTACCATATCTCTCTACCCTGAGGGTTCATTGATTTGGCAGTCTACTCAGATATTAACACTTATTCACCTAGGTTTAATGCTAATCCACACTGGTTTAAAATATAGCAAAAAGGAATTAATAGTAAATTATATGTGTTGTAAGACGTATCATTCTGTTGAAAGGTATGCATCCAAATATATTATCACTTGTGCGTGCTTAGTAAAAGTATCAAAAAAAAAATGATTTTGATCATTTTGACCATTTCAAATATCTGAAATGATCTATTTTGACTTCATGTATAATTTGAACTGTAGTTTATTTGCTACAATAGTTTATTTATATAATATTTTTATAAAGTTGTACTAAATGTTATAATACTTTATTGATGAAAAGGGCTAATTAGAAACTATTTATTAAATAATCTACAAAATTTAACCCTAATAAATTTTACTGATATATAATCAGATCTCAAATTAATAGAAAACAAAATTATATATAAATATGATAGTTTGCATTCAAAATGAAGATAGTTATCATTAATTAACAAAATTCACATTTAAATGCAAAAATCATCTTTATTAAATAATATTTTATCTTTATACTGATGAAAATCAAATTGATGAAGAAATAAATTCATCTTAGAATGACGAATTTTATAAAGTAACAAATTATTATATGAATTTGTAATGAATTGCTTAATGAATTTCGTTATAAATCATTATAATGAATTTTATAATAAATTATTAAAATTCATTAATAATTTGTTAGAATTATTTGTTAACCTATTCATAAATAAATTATATTAAGCAAATTGTTATAAATTTCATTAATGATTTATTATAACAAATCATTATAACAAATTTTGTTAACTGATTTGTAATGAAAATTTGTTAAGGTAATTATTATGAATTTTATTAATAAATAGTTAAAAATTTTATTAAATTAATTATTAATAAATAATTCTAACAAATTATTATAAAAATTTATTTAACGATTCTTTAAAACATTCATTATAATGAATCATAATAAAATTTTATTAAGCAAATTGTTTAAAAAATTTTGTAAAAAATTGTTAAGTAACAAATAATTAAAAAATTTATTAATAAATCATCATTAAGTAATGAATCATTATATAAATTTGTTAATAATTGTTAAATAAAATTTGTTAATAATGATTTGCTTAATAAATTTATAATGAATTATTAATAAATTTTATTAACAAAACTTGTTAACAAATTATTACTAATCGGTAAATTCTAATTAAATAATAACTAGAGAACAGTTTTTAAAACCATTGTTAAATCTGAAGCATTTATGTAATGAAAAAGACCAATCATGTATTGACTCAATTTTTGAGCAGATGGATAATGGGATATCTTGTATCACTGATCATAAAATTATATAGTCCTTCATTACATTCTGAACTAATTATCAATTAGATATTAAACTAATTAATAATTAATTATTAATTGAATCTGATTTATTACTATTGGACATATAGTTTAAATTTATTAAAATAAGTATAAAATCAGGTTGAAATCTAATTTATATAATTCTACCTAATAATTATAAATAAGTATGATTTATACCCAATTGTAATTAATATTTACTGATTTCTATATATAATTGTTGATCAAATAATAGTGACTAATCAGAAATTTGATTGATTAACATTTTATTCATTTTCAAAAATTTATAATTAACTTATATAAAATTTATAAATATCATCATGAATTAAATCTCTCTTCCTCCTTTTAAAATGATGTAATTTCTGGTTCTCCCCTAATATATATAGGTTAAAACTAATTGCAACATACGTTGCAACATTAAAGTTGCAACATATTAATTACAATTCTTATTTTTACTTTTAACATATTTTTTGATATCAAAAATCTGATTATTATTTAAAAAAAACTATTTGCTTAATTAATAGTATACTTTTTTCTAGTTATTTATTTACTTATAATAGTAAAAAAAAGAAGGTAAATTAATTATAGTTTCTGAAGTTTTTTTTGATTGAATTAAATAAAGAAGTTAATTTAATAATATTTCTTTTTTGAATATTTTTATCATTTGCAATGATTTTTATTATTTGAAAAAATAAAACAGCTTTTATTATTATTATTTTTTTTACAATATTTTTTATAGTAGCATAATATAGCAGTAAGAAATTTTCTTCTCCCTTAAATTCATATTTTTTATAAAAAAGAAAACTGTAAGAGATATAGTGTTTTTTTTTTATTTTTTATTTCCATTTTTTATATATATATATATTTTTTTTAGTTTAAACATTTTTCAGATTTTTCCTTTAGTTCTTTTTATTTATCTTAGTTATAAGTATAAGAAATTTTTTATAGTTAGATCTTTTGTTAGAAGTATTTTCTGATAAAATCAATGTAAACAGACATACAATAAGTTATGTAATATATTTATTGTTTATACATTGATTGTATTTTGTATTTAGTTTAGCTTTTATAAATATTATAATAAACTAATTGGACAATTAAAAAATATATATATATATATAATTATTGCTAAACATATAAATAAGCTTTGGTTTTTATTTAAAAATAAAAAAAACGAAAAACAAATTTCGATCCAAAATGATAATGCCAGAATTAAAAGAAGTAAATTGTTATCACGTGCTTTACGATCCAAAAAATTCTAGTAGGTTATTTTATTATCTTTGCAATACTTAATTGCTTGCTCATATTTTTTACTAGCGGCCATCATCATATAATATCTGCCTAATTCTACATTACCTTGAGAGAAATAATAAGTAGAAACATTAAACATAGCTACCACATGATCATTTTTAGCTGCTTTAACAAAATAGTTCACGGCCTCTTCCGTATTTGGTTCAACACCTTTTCCTTGCATAACTAATGTCGCATAACGAAGTTGCGCGTCAGGATATTCATCCCCATAATCTGCAGCTTCTTTGTAAAGTTCAGCAGCAATTTTATATTTTTCACTTTTAGAACAATCAAGATCAGAATAATCTTTTAAGATATAATAAGCTTTCCAATATTTTGCACCTGGATTACCTATTTTAGCATAATTATCAAAACACTTATATAATGTACGTTTATCCATACTGTCTTTTTTGTGTTCTTCAATTGCTTTGTCAAGGCTCATCAAATTAATACTATAGAAATCAATAACACAATCTTCTTCTGCTGCCGCAATCGTGCTGCTAGTCATTTTTCGGACTGGAGTATTTGGAGGAAATCTACCGCTACCGTTATTCAAAGTACCGACAGTAGGTTTAGTATAATTACTAAAGATATCTTGAAGATCCGTCAACATTTTTGCGAATATGGGTCTCAGACCCGGATTTTGGTCGACAGCTTTATTTACGAGAGATTTATATTTTTCTGGGATATCGATACCGGGTGTAAAGGGTTCTCGATGTCCACTTATTACTAGTTTGGTAATTTCTAAAAAGTCACTAATACCATCATACGGAACTCTACATTCAGCAATTTCCCAAAGAAGAATACCAAAACTGTAAACTTCACATTTGGTATCATATTTTTTTTTTGCTTCATCATCTGCAATTCGTTTTTTATTCTCGTTTTGTTCTGCTACCTCTGTAATTCTTTTTAACAGCTCAGGAGCAGTATATACAATAGTTTCTTTATTTGCGGATAGATTACTAGTAGCTGCGTTATGATCTCTACTGAACTTAAAATTTGTAATCTTTGCAACATCATTATATGTAATTACGATATTTTCGGATCTAATATCCCGATGAACGATCTATAGGATGAAAAAATATATATATATATATATATTTTTAATATTTAAATTATGAATAAATAAACAGAAAATTTCTTTTTTATAGTTAGCTCAGACATGATCTAACCTGGTCTGAACATTTCAATAAAATTTTGTTACCTTGACAGAGTTAAGGAAATTTAACCCTTTAGCGATATCATAAGCAAATCTAATTCTCAATCTCATCTCGATAATTTGTCCATATGAAATAATATAATCACGTAAATTCTTATTTTCTGCCCATTCGGTTACTGAATGAAAATCATCTTTATCATCTTTAGTAAGGCCATAGAAATGAATAATATTTTGACAATCTTTTAGCTTTTTGAGAATTGTGACTTGATTTTTAACTGTATTATAATTTTCTTTATCCACACGTTTAAAAGCAAAATCTTCTTTAGTTTTTACGTGGACATATTTTCTTAGTCTAACAGTTCGAGGTGGCTCATCAGCTTCTTCATAATCTTCGAATGGAAGTAGGGGTTCATTAAAGATAGTATCAATTCTGTTTTGATTTTGTTTTTCACTCTTTGGGTTATTTATCAAACTTTGCATAGTGATTTGCATTTCACTGACTTTCTCAATAACCAAGTTCACTTTGTCACTTGCTCCAGAGATTTTTTCGTCCACATGACTTATTTTCTTATCCACTTCGCCGATACTTTCCGCTAAAGCTGCTTGAAACTTTAGAAGTTCTTCAATGTCTTCCTTTAAAATTAAATCTTCTTTTTCCGAATTAATCTTAAAATCAACCGTTAAGGTAAAACTTAATAAGGTAATGCTGCTATCATAATCCTTACATAATTCTTTAAATTGTTTTTCGATTAATTTAGCCCCCAAAAATTTTTGTACAGTATTATATTGAGTGATTCCTTCAATATATTTTTTCATTTTTTGAAGAACTTCAACTAATCTTTGTAAACTTGTATAATTTTTTAAAGTAAATAAATCTTCTCTTGCTTTTAACATTTCAACTGCGGAGCTTGCTGCAATAATTCGTTCCACCAAAACTTTGGTTATATTTTTATTATGTTGGGCTGTCTTATATAAATCTATAACCTTATTAAGAATATCGGATACTTCATTAACAAGCGGAACGAATTGTACGTAAGGGATAACAACTGATGCTGCCTCAGCAATGTGAGTAATTAATTCTAAACTATCAAGAGCAGGATCTGTTTTCTCAACAAAATCAACAGTTTTATCAACGGCAGTATTCAATTTTCCTTTAATCATTGCTTTCATTTTTATTTTATTTTATTTTAATTTTTTTTTTTAAAAAAAAAATAGGATTGAATTCTTTATTTATATATAGCAAAAATAAGTTTTTTTTTTAAAAGAAAAAAAAAAAACTTTGTTTCACAACTTTAATTCTTTGTTCGTATTTTAATGGACAAATAAACTACCAAAATTCATAAATGAAATTCAATAGGGATTAATTAAATGCACAAGCGCAAAAGAAATTCCGTGTTTCACGTTGAAGGGTTTAACAAACTTCACTTGTGCGACTCGAATTGAAAAAAAAACGTGGATAATAATTTACAATAAACTTTTTTTAAAGTTTAATCCACCAACGATATCTCTCATCGAAAATTCTTTAATCTCATTTTCACTATAACCGTATTCTGTTAAAATTTCTTCACTATGCTTACCTGGATTCAAGGAATCATTTAATTGTATCATTCTACCAGGAGTTTCGTATAATTTTGGAGCAGGTTCTGGTATTTTATCACTTAATCCATAAACAGGTGTAACACACGCATCACTACCATAAAATACTTGATTCCATTCTTCTTGTGTTTTAGTCAGAAATGTATTTGTAAACAATTGTTTCATTTCATTCCATTTCGAATTGTCTAATTGAGATGGTAAGGTATTTGCATTTAAATCTAATCTTTTTAATAATTCTGCATAAAATTGCGGTTCAATAGCACCGCTTAATCATAAAGAAAAAAAGGTATGAGTGAGTAAACATTAAAGGATGAATATAGAAAGATAAAAATTACTTACACGGCCATATATTTATTGTCCTTGGTTTTATAAACTTCGTAAAAATGAGCACCTCCATCAAGCATATTTTCACCCCTGGGTTCAGTCCATAACTGATTCATTAGCTTCATTAATTGAGTGAAGGTTGCCAAATATTTGACTCCATCAACCTTTGTTTAAAAATTATGATTATTATTGATCAATTCATTAATAAAATATTTCATATATGTACTGTATAAATACCATTGCAACGTCAATGACTTGACCTTTTCCCGATTTTGATCTTTCAATCAATGCCAATAAAATACCCAATACGCACATCATACCACCTCCAGCAAAATCGGCTATTTATTTTTATTGAACTAAATTAATAAGGAAACCTTTTGTTTTTTGATTTTTAGCAAAAAAAAAAAAATAATTAAAAACCTAGAATGTTTAATGGAAACATGGGATTTTCATTCTTTCTTCCAAGAAGCTATTAAGATAAAATCCAATATTTTTATTTAAAAAGTAAAACAAAAGAGTAAAAAAAAAAAGAAAAGTACATAAGTATAATAAAACCTACCGATAATACACCGGAAACTGCAAGGTAATTAATATCATGCCCCGCCATATTAGAAAATTTACCTGTCCCCCCCAAAAATAAAAATAAAATGTAAATTTTTTATTCAAAAGTGTTCAAATTTTGATTGTTACCCTTTAAAAAAATAATACCTTTTTGACCAAAACCGGTTAACCTAACATAAATTAACTTTTCATTTAGTTTACATAATTCATTCGGTCCTAATCCCAACTTTTCCATCACACCAGGTCGAAATGGTTCAATCAATATATCAGTATCGAGAAAAATTAATCGTTTAAAGATTGAGATTCCAATTGGAGATTTTAAGTTAATAGAAATTGATCGTTTATTTCTATATTATATATATCGAAAAGATAAAAAATAAAAAAAAAACGGTTGATATATAATGTATTGCAATCGCTTCGCTAAATTATTTCATTTTACCTTGAAAGGTTGTCCATTTTATTATGCATATCGGTGAATTTATCAACTCGGATTACATTTGCACCAAAATCTGCTAATACCATTCCTGTAAATGGCGCAGGAGCTAATCCTGCAATCTCGATAACTTTTATTCCATCAAGAGGCAATAATCTTTTAATTGATGACATTTTTAATAAATGTTTTTTTTATTCAAAAGTATATCAAGTTTCAATTACTCCTATTATGGATATATATTTTTTTACATTACCAAAATTAGTTAAATTAATTACGCAACCCTATAACTTTAGAAATTTCTTCCAGGTTTCTTTTGGCAATTTCATTTGCTTTATTCGAACCATCCTCAAGTATATAATTCACGTATCCCTCCTCTTTTTTTAATTTCTCAATCTCTTTTTGAATCGGTTGTAAATTCTGTACGATCACGTCAACAACCGACTCTTTAAACTTTTTATTATCGCTATTTTTATATTCATTTACAACTTGTTCGATGGTTAAGCCCGTAAAACTGGAATAAATATTAATTAAATTGGAAATTCCGGGACGTGTATCAGGCGAATATGAAATTCCTTCTTGCGAATCTGTAGTGGCACGTTTTATTTTTTGTGAAATATTCTCGGGTGAATCTGTCAAATTTATTCTAGAATGTTCGAGTGGATTCGATTTTGACATCTTTTTCAAAGGATCTTTAAGTGATAAAATACGATTCGCTGGAACTAATCATAAAAAAGAAAATTAATAACAATTGAGAGAAAAAAAATAAAAATAAAAATAAAAAATAAAGTTAATAAAATTTTGATTTATATACCTAGGATAGTTTGTGGTAAAGGAAACACATTTCTCTTATACAATTTATTAAATTTTTCAGCTAAATCTCTCGTAAATTCCAAGTGTTGAATTTGATCATCACCAACTGGTACATGGGTAGATTTGTAAAGTAATATATCAGCAGCTTGTAATACGGGATAAGCAAATAATCCAAATAATCCTAAATCCATTTCACGAGTGATATCAATACTCTCTGTTGATTGTACATTTTTTTGTTCTTGAATTTTGTTCTTCCATTGAGTCATCCTTGATAACCATCCAATTGGTGTAACACAACTCAATATCCATGATAATTCTGAATGTGCCGATACCTTTGATTGCTCAAAAATCAAACATTTCTTTGGATCGATTCCACAAGCCATCAATATAATTGTCATCTCCATTTTACTTTGCTGCAACAATTTAGCATCTCGCGGAATTGTGAGTGCATGTAAATCAACTATAGAATATAATATCAATTCGGATTCTGATTTATGCTTTTGTAAAGATATCCAATTCTTTATGGCTCCAAGATAATTTCCTAAATGTGGTATTCCTGTTGGTTGGATTCCCGAAAATGTTATTTTTTGATGTACTGGAGTTTTCTTTTTCCCATCATCTCTAGTCGTTCCCACATAATTCCTCTAATATTAAAAGAATTAATTATTTATAAATTTATTAAGTGAAAAAAAAAATTTATTTTTTTTTTCCCTTACATATATATTCCGGATTTTAAGAATTGAACAAAATTCACTCTTAATCTTCAGTAAAGGCGAAAACTTATGTTTTAACATCATCATCTTAACAAAGTTCCATAAAAAAAAAAAAATTTCTACTGATTAAAAATATTATTTTTGGACATCATTTCCGATAACGTAATCAAAAATAAAATCCCGTTAATGTCTCCGAATATCAATCCAAGAAATTATTTAAATGTACCGATTATTATTCTATTTTTATTCATATTAATGCAAAAAAAAAACCATACAAATATAAAGAGCGATTATTGCACAAAATCTAAAGAAACATCATATGATCGTCTACTTAAGATCAGTTCCACTGAGTTTATACTTGACTTATCAAAGTAATGTGTTAACCTTTATTTATGTATCTGCTGATACTAACGGATCACTATGTTCATCGCTAGTATTAGATGGTGCTGGTGAATTAGATATAGATGAAGAAATAGACGTGGGTTGATATGGAAGTTGTAAAAAATTATTAATTAATGAATCTCCAAACAATTGAGTTTCGGATGGAGGTAAAATATCGGCGGCAAAAGATGTAGGGGGAAGAATCAAATGAGCGGTAGGATCATAAAATGAATTGTTATTTTCTGTGGATTCCTCTCGTTTAATTTCAGGAATCCTTTGAGTTTGTTGTTGCTGTTTATTATGTTCATCCATAATGGTGATCGTTGGAAACTCCGTAATAGCTTTTAATTGTTCTGAACATTCTTTGGCTTCATTAATTTTGCTTTGAGTATCTAGAAGGGTTTTGTTATCAATTCTAAGCTTCATTTCTTCTTGTGCTATTATTTCCTTCATCTGAATGATGAATTGTGTTCGATTAGAGATATTCCTTGTGATCAGATTTTTTTGTTCTATCAGCACTCGAAGGAGGTAATCAAGTTGTTGCGAAAGAATGGATGGTCCAGGCTTTTCTATGGATCAAAATCTTTGTATCAAATTTTTTCACACGTTTAAATCTTTAAAAAAAAAATAGAATTAATAACCAAATATAAATTTTCATACCTTCTGCTTCCATTATTTCCGTCCAAAGTTTTGCTACTTTTCTTCCATATTCTTGAATTACAGTTTCCAAATCTACAATAGTATGAGTGGTCGTAACCAATTTCGCCTAAATTGATGTTCTTGTAAGATTAAATTAACTCGACTGAGGAAAGAAATGACACCTGACCTCATCATCCAAAACACTTACTATATCAGAACGTCCAGGAGGTGGTGACATAGAGGTACCTGCCTTCGTCTGTTTATCTATTTGCCTTTTTGCCATAGAACTTCCAGATTGTGGTGAATTCGTTCCCAAAAAATTTCTCCGTAATTCATCTAGAAAATCTTTATCAAAGACTTCACGTTCCTCCCAAATATTAACAACACGCCTTATCTTGTTTTGAACATCAGCAGTCGCATGACGATAAGTATGCTCAATAGCATCAGGAAGTACTTTACGGAATTCTCTTACAAATTCAGGACCTTTACGACGACTATTTTGACAAACATCATTACAAAGGTATATGAAAGATACTTTCCGCGCTGAACTTGCTTCATATTAAAAAGTTCAATCAAGTAATTAAAGTCGGTAAAATATCATGATCGTGAATGTCAGAATATAATTAATTTCTACCTTTTCGTAACTCGCGATTCCAGATATCCACACTGGTTGCTACATGTCGTCGGTGGTACATGAACCCTATAATAAATAAATATTATATGAACAAGATGAAACCTTTTAATGTCTAGGAGACTTTATAATAAGGAAAGATAAAGTTGTTGACTAAAGGCTTTATATTAAAAAAAAAGTAATATATGTATATATATTTACTAAAGAGAAATACCAACACTGTGATAGTAGAGAAATAGATTCTTGAGTGTCGACAAGTTTGTTGAGTTTAGAAATTAATACTTCCTCGGAATAGGCTGACATTATAGATAAATCTTAGGATATTTACTTAAAACGAAAAGCCAGGTATTAGGTATAAAAAAAAAGAGAAGGTAAATACTATATGTAGATTATATTTTTTTTTAAAAAAAAAACGCAACACTTTCGCTCGTGTGCGGTAAAAAACCAAAAAATTAAAGATCACATGAATATTTGAAACTGTAATTAGGGATGTTAAGAGATCGATCATATGATCAGATCGCGATCCAATCCGGATCGCTCCGTCACGTGGTCACTTAATCTGGGCTCATACTACGAGCCGTTTGACTCTCCCATGTTGAATTATTAGCGTTTGCCAGTTCTCTGGGATTTATATATTATATATGTAAAACCGATCTAAAATAAAGATAACAAATGCGTCTTAAAATTAGACAAGAACTAAACTTCATTTTTGAGACAAATTTGTAATTATTATAATTCGCTAATAATGAAAAGTATTGTTTTGACGCGGAAAAAAAGGACTCTAAAAATAAAGGCATAAGATTTATATATAAATAACGGAATAATAATTATATCATTTAAAATTAAGCTTTTACCTTTCGGTAAACGTATTTTAATTTTGAACTTTAATTATTCAACAATTGTGCAATACACTCATTCAATTATTAAGGGTCTAAAAATAGATCTTAGAGATCGCCTTCCCTAATTTATTGGTCGAATGGTAAATTTCTCACGATGAAAAACGTATATAAGATCTAAGATCAAATCTAATTTTTTTTAATCAAGAAATGTCTGACAATCGTTCAGAAAGTAGTATCAAACGCCAAAAAATAAATTTAGGCAAAAATGATATTGTAGATTCTAGCATACAACAAAATACTTCTTATGAAGATTCTGGCATTAAACTTACGACAACTAAAAGTCTTCCCGACTCTGAAAATGTCGAAAGTGTCTCTCTGAGTTCTATCTTATATTCGGTTCGGTATTTAATTTATTAGTTGTTACCATCCAAAAGTTTGATATATTAAATTTCATTTTTAATAGGAAGATTTGGTAGAAATGGTTCAATTCAATTTTATGTTTGAACTTGAATTTCTGATGTCTAATTTACCTAAATCTAAGCAAAATACAATTCCTACGACTATTGTGCATGGACTTAGCGAAGAAAGTGAAAGATATTTAAAAGTAATTGTTAAAAATAAAAAGAAAACAAAAAAAAATAGTTTATTTTCGATTCTAAACACCCCTTCTGAATTACCAGGCGGAAGCAAATTTTTTCAATAATGTGAAACTTATTTCTCCACGGCTACCTATTCCATATGGTTAGGTTTAATAGGAATTTTGATTTGGTTTATTTTGTTTCAATGAATATATATATATATATATAAATGTATATTGTTAATTATTAGGAACTCATCATACAAAAGTATAGTTATTGTATAACTCATAATGTTGCTATAATTTATACAATATTTTTATATTGACTTCTCATAGGCAATGTTACTTTTTTACGAGAATTTCACAATGCGTATGGTTATCCACACTGCTAACGCGATAAGAAGGGATTGGGCGTATGTTGCTATTTAATAAATTACCAATTACTTATTAACGATTTGACTAAATTTCATTTTTTTTTTGTTTTTAAAAAAAAAAAGCGATAAAACACAAGGAGTATACATGACCCCGTTCCTCTCTAAGAAACGCGAGAATGCTACATGTTCAGAATTTGAGTTGGATCTGATTGAATATTTGGATAGCTATGGTGATAAATTAAAGCATATTCGAAATAAAGTGAAGGAATATGACTTTTCAACTGTCAAGGTGAATTATAATATATGAATATTGTTTGTTTATGAATTGATGTGATTTTTACTGATTCAATTTATTTACTTAAGGCGAAATTAATTGCTTCAGTACCAGGTTATCATGTTAATGAAAAGATGGAACGATTTGGTCATATGAGGCTTAGGAATGTTTTAAGAAACGTCACCATCCCGTTATCGTGTAAGTTTGAAAGTAACATTATATGCCAATTTTCCAGCATCGGATCACTAGGTAAAGACGAGAAATGGTTGATAAATGAATTTGCGGATAGTCTAAAACATGCAAAAAACCAAAATCAATGCAGTGACCCGGAAATAAAATTAGTTTATCCAACTGTTGAGAATGTCCGCGATAGGTATTTAGTTTTTTAAATTATTAAAGTCATTAACATATTTCGAAATTGATTAACGATGTTTTAACAAGTTTGGAGGGATGGACGGCTGGTCAAGCATTACCTTTTAGTCATGAAAATTATTTAAAACAAAAATATTACATGCAGAAATATTTGTATAAATGGAAGGCAATTGAAGCTGGAAGAGATCGTGCAATGCCTCATATTAAGGTTTATAAGGTTTTTTATCAATAGTCTTAAATTCTTATTTATATTTCTAATTGATTTTGATAATTTTAGACATATTCTCGAATGAAAATAATGCCGAATTTGACAACAAATAATTCAGATTCAAATGCAGATATTGCATGGTTTTTATTGACTAGTAGCAATTTATCCAAAGCTGCATGGGGCACTTTACAAAAGAAAAACAAACAGTTGATGATACGCAGTTACGAGTTGGGCGTATTAATCTTTCCAGAATTATTTCATGTATGTTTCCAAGATAAATGGCTTTTTTTTTAATAATATATATTAATTTTTTTTAATTTTATCTTCTCAGAAACTTGAATTTACTTCGGTCCACCTAATAAATTCTATTCCTCGTAATTTAAAACCTACACTACCATCTTGTAACGCCACTTCTTCAAATTCAACTTTGTCAAAGAAAAGGAAACAATTGGAGGAAGGAGGAGGAAAATTGATAATTCCTATTCGTTTACCTTATGACCTACCATTAACACCATATAATTTTCAAGGTGGTGATGAATGCTGGACATGGAATATACCAAGAACTGAAAAAGATTGGTTAGGAAATTTATATAGACCTTGATTATCTTGAATAAAAACAGTTTTGATTAAAAATTATATGGTTATATTAAATGAGATTTTTTTATTTTGATTTTGATTTTTGATTGCACAAATTATATTAATTTACATATACAAACGATTATCAGTTTATGTATAATATAGTTCGATATTAACACCATTACTAATTGAATCTAAAGATTTATTGTTATTCGATTAGTAATAATAACATTAAATAACAATATAAATATATATATATATAATGAAATGAAATGAGTAACTTACAATCATCTAATGTGAGTTTATTATTAAGAGAGTTGATCCCTCTTCATAAAATGATTAAAAATTAGTAAAGTTAGAATAATTTAATATTTATAATTATCACATATATAAACGATTAAGCTTACCCATATCTTAATTTAATTTTATTATAGGGGGTACCGATATGAGCTGCAAGTAATTTCTTAAATTCTAAAACCGAGTCGGTTGGACTGGTATGATATAAATAAATCAAATAAGAAAAAAAATGGTGAATAATCGAATTCAAAAATTCCAACGATCTTAATCGAGTTAATTAGTAGGAATACTAACGTGCACTTGACCTGAACCTTTTTGCCTAAACGGTCATTACAAGTGACCATAATCATATCTTTTGAGTCGGAAGTTTTCTGATTCATGATGCTGCGAAGTATTGAAAATGTGTGAATGTTCAGAATAGTTTATCTAAATATTCCAAGTCATGTGATTATTTATTTGAACACTATATAATTAAAAATTTTTTTTTAGAATATTACGATTTAGGATATTCCGGTTTGCAGATTGAAACATCACAAATGTGATAATCACATAATATCATAGGATTCTTAATATTGTTATCAAAATTCCTAAATGCCGCAAATCTATCTTGAATCTTTATTTTTACCTTTTTTACATATATGGAAATTTTTTTTTTATTGTTATTATAAAAATATATTTTTTATATAAGAATATAATTTGAAATATAAAATATAATTTAAACATAGGATATACTGTAACAAAATCAGACATTGGTATTACTAAGAATTTCAAGGTCAAAATTTAGTATTGTGATCCGTCATAAGTGTCCAAAAGAGGTATTAAATTGATATGATTGTTTAGACTAAAAAGTAAGGTTATTATAATATCTTGAATTTTCATAAACTGCAAAAAAATATACATACAGTATTTCAGAAACCTTTTAACAATTCTTTTTTACTGGTTATGAAGGTTTTATTTACTGGGTTTGCTACATTACAATCAGAAAGATCAATTATTCAATATTCAAAACAACAAATATATAGAATTTATCTCTATTTTATTTATAATCTCATGTAATTCATTTGTGATGGTTTGAGGTGACTATAAAAATAAAATATTGAGTCAATTAAATCATCAAGAAAAATTAAAAATAGAAGATACATCTTAAATCATTTAAATTGTTAAATATTCATACTCTGCAATTTCATTATATTCTTTATCAATAATAATATTAAGGGAATTGTGTAATAACTAATGCAATTTTATGAAAATAAAGGTAATAAATGCAGGTTTATTTGAATAGTTAATTATTAATGTATCATTACTTTCTTTAATAATGACTATATTTGATTATCATGATTATTATTATTATCAAACGCTCATTTATTTCTCATTTCAAATTTTGCAAATACAATTATGAAAATGACTTTTTTTAAATTTGAAAAAAAAAAAATCTTTATTTAATTGCATTCATCTAATATAAATATAATTTATATGAAATTAAAATGGAAATTATTCAAATCACAATAAATCATATTTTATAAAACTTATCTGAAATTCTATTATTTTTATTTGAGTCTGAATAAGATTCAATTTAAATTGTTTTTTAAGTAATTTGTTCTTTATATTAATATTTTCTCTATTTATATATCTCAAAAAAGGTTTTTTAGTACTTAGTTTTTTCATTCATCTATTTTTAAAAATTTGTATAAATTACTACACCTTCAAAAATTCTTATTAGAGAATCTTTTAAATTTAAAAATAATAATAAGAGGTAGCTTTATCCAATCAGCCAAAAAAACTAACATAATGATAAAATTAAATCTTTCATGACTTGTAAACAAAATTGATATAAAAAAGTGATAAATTAATAAAATGTATTCATTATTATAAAATAAAAATAAGAAAAACTGCAGATAAATAAGCAGTCTTCATTTTATAAATAAGCAGATTAATAAATAATCTATGAAAATCATTCTAAATTAATAAGTAGTTTTTTTTATAAATAAACAAATCACAAATTAAATTATATGATATATATAACACCTATTAGAAAAAAATAGCAAATAATATTTTTAATTCTAATAATCAGATAATATAGTAGTTGATAAGATATAAGAATTGAATAGGCTAATAAATAAAATAAAATAAAAGTAAATATAAACATATCTTAAAATCTAGTTTTTATTTTTTACTTATTTTAAATATTTTAGTATAATGTGAACTAATGGGTAATAATTTATTTTTGTATGATTATGCTTAGTTTTCATATTTCTAAAACATTAAAATAAAATCAAAAATAAAAAAATTTTTTAAATGTAAGTTCTTTAATATTTTTCTAAAATCTATATAATTATAAATTACAGATTAAAATAGAAAACTCATAAAGCATTATATATTACATTACTTTTTTATTACAGTAAAATAAAGCATTAAAACCTTTAAATAATAAATTCATTTTGAAGAATTTAATATTATTTTCTTATTTATTTAAATAATTAATGTTTTAACAATCCAAAAAATATGTTAAGATATATTTATTACTTATTTTTTCTTATTGATCATCTCAAATTAATAATACATTACTTTTAGTATTATAATAATATAAAATCATATAACTCAAATAATCAATAATAATATTTCTTAAACCTATTAAAACAATTATAAAGAAAATAACTAATTAAATATAAATATACTATATAGAAGTTTTGCAGTAAAAAGTGAGAAAACTCTAAAAAAAATTAAAATTTTACTTTCTAAGCTAATTATGATTTTTTTTAGTAAAATAAGTTCAGATTTAACATTAACTTAAAAAAAATTTTTTTTAGAGTTTTCTTCTTTAGCTTCTATATGTTTATTATTTTTAATTTAATATAAAATTTTCTTTTTAATTAATAATAACAAATATAATTAATAAAATTTTTGTTGAATAGTACTATATATAGCTAACTAAGATACTTTAGATTTGATATAAATTCTCAAATTTTAAGAATATGATATTATAGGAAGTACTTTAATCAGAAGGAAGAATATAAGCATATTTGCCAAAATCAATAAAAATATAAAATTTTATTAAAATAAAATACTATATATTTGAATTTTAAATATTATACTTTTAGATATAATACATTTTTTAAATAAAAATTTAAAACTTTAATGTATCATATCTAAAGTTGCAAGAAATTAAAAGAGGCTTTTTACTTATTAAAATGCTGAAACTTTGTCAAAACTATATTAAATCTTATAAAAACTTATATAAAACTATGGTAAAATATTAAAATATCAAAATTAATGATGTCTTTCTAAACTATTTTTAAAAAATTTGAGTTTTGAGATATTTGAGATAAAACTATTTGTTTATAATAAATATTTTTATCTACACTTCTAATAGGTTTTTTTAAACTCAATTAAGTTTAATCAAGTTTTAGATTTAAAAAAAAGTCATTTTAAAGGTTTTGAAAAAGTTTATAAAATTTTGAGTTATATGTTAAAATAGGTTTCAAATAACATTATTAATCAAAACTATTATAGTAAATACTAAAACCCAAGAAAATATGATGAAATAATATTAAGCTCTTATTAAAATTTCATTAAAATTAATTGTAAAATTTTAAAGAGGTTTAGATAAACATTCTTAATCATATTTAAAGTATAATCATATTTTATAGTTACTTTTTTAGAAAATATGTATTATTAGTTGAAGATTTTTCATTTTTTGTTAGTTCAGAAATTTACTTTAGTAAAAAGATAATGTTATTATATTGATCATTTTCTTTTCATATTATTAGTGATTTTACTTATATAAAATGAATTATTCAGTAAAAAAAAAAGTGCTGATGAACAATCAACTCAAATGAATTTTAAAAGTAGTTATAATAAATGTTAGTATTGTTAGTATTTTTAAATTAATTTTTGTTTTTGCTTATTATATTTACCCCTCATAAACTTAAATAAAGTTGCTAATAAAATTGCAACATTAAACTTAAAATATGATGTTTTGACTATTCTAACTATTTCAAATATTATAAATAAATTAACTTTAGTTTCATAACTATTTAAAGATATACTTATATTAATAAATTTATTATTATAATCACTTATATATAAATAAATAAATATTTAATTATCTATTAGTATAAATTATAAATTCAAAAATAATTAATTTCAGATATCTAAAATGATCAAAATAGTTAAAATTAATGTCATTATTTCACATAATTTATTATATATACAATATCTATAAAAAATAATATAATTTTGATTAATATTGTCTTATTTCTCATAAAATAATCACTATTCAAATCCTTAAAATTAAATGAATTCAATAAGTTAATTATCATCAATTTTAGATTAACTAATTTCAGTATAATTTGTAATTGAATTATTAGACTAAATTATAATTCAATAAATTCTAATTAAACAAATCTGATTTCAAATTTTTTAATCACAATTTTTTTATGATTTGTGATTAGAAATCAATTTATATTAGCTTATTAGATTCATCTATTTTCAAAGATTCGAATGATATGAAACAAAGTAATATTAACTGAGATTATACTTATTTTTTATTTTTTTTAGATACTGTTTTTATAATAAAATTTATATTAATATAATCTAATCTACTGTGATTATATAATTTGATGTAGTTACAGTAGTTACATAAAATGTAATTTTCTTAAATTTATTATAAAATAAGACTAAAAATTAATATAATTATATTTATATAGTAGTGTAATTATAAAAGAGGTGTTTTCATATTTAAAAAATTGTAATTAATTATAATGTGATTAAAGAAGTGATAATTATAGACAGGATTACTATATATAAAGATAGATTTATAACTATTAGGTTATAATCAATTGCAAAATTTTAAATATAAGAATTATAATACAAAAGTTCACAATTAGTTGTAATTTTTAGATTATAATCAGAGTTGTAACAGTTGTAGATTTTTAAATAAGTTGCTATTGTATCTTTAATATATAAAAAAAATAGCTAGAGAAATCAAGTTTAGTGAATTATCAAAATTTAAAATAAAAATAAAATAAATAAAATTTAAAATTTTATTAAAAAATTCTTAGAACCTAATTTTTATAGCAATCTTCTTATATAAGTTTAAATAAATTTATAGATTTTATCCTTTATAAAATTAAAATTTATAAATTTATTTAATATATTAATAATAGAAATAGATTTTATTTATTAATTATTTGTAAGTTATAGACTGATAATGCAATACATATACCAGTCATTATACTAAATAATTAACAATAAATTTCTTTTCTAATTTACAAATCAGTTTAATTCATCTAATTATATTAAATTTTCAATTATTATTATTATATTTTATATTATTACACTTGTATTTATAAATTTAATTAGTTTATAATATAGCAAATAATAGCTAAAACAAATTAATTTTATATAAATATAATAGCTTATCACTTAAGTTATAAATTAACTCTTTTGTAAATTTTAATATTTAATAAATGATTAATTTGAAAATATAATTACATTTTTCTACATATCTATCTTCTAGGATTATTTGTGAACTAATACAATAAACTTACTATTAAATTTATCACTAAAAAATAAATAAGTCTTTCAGTTCAAATTTAATGTGAGTACTTTTAGATATCTGTAAGATGTGATATTTTCTAAGATTGTAAACTCTAATAATAAGAAATTTACTTACTATAGCAAAGAAACTTAGACTTATAATATCAACATTTAAAATATAATCTTACATAAGTTCTATAATTTTATAATTTTATAATATATGTATTATAAATCATTAAAGATTTATTAGTTAATCTTAATATAAAAACTTAAATATTTTATTGACTACAGAAATTTGTTAAAATATTTGAAATTAAGAGAATTAATAAATAAGATTACAATGCAATTAAAAATGATAGTATAATATTTAAAGACAGAGCTATTAAAGTATTTTGTATTAAAAATAATAAATAATATAAAAAGGTTACTATTGATTTATGAGGAAAATTATAATTAGTTAAAATGATTGGAATTGCTATTAAAAAAAATCCATTATTTGCCATCCTATTAGCTATTTAAATTTATTATAAGAGTCTATTTTTTTTTAAAATAAAACTTTATTATAATTAGCGAATTTTAATTATAAATATTTTATTACATATATATGAATATATTGATTATGTATTAATACAACTTAAAATTACAATCAATTGGCTTCAAAATTATTATATAAGAAATATAAAAAAAAAAAAATTAAACTTTTCGTATATTTTACTATGTTTTGCTAGGAGCTAAAATAAGAATATAAATGTCGGGAAAGCGGGAAAACGCTGAAACATATTAATATACATTTACCTATCAAGTTTCTTAAAAATGGGATGATCTATCGAAAATGGCCATGACGAAAGATTTATAGATCTATAATAATAATTTAATCTTTAATTTTGTTGAATGAATTATTAATATGAAATCAAAAACTATAATTACAAGTTTTAAAAGAAAATAATACATAAATATAAAAAATCGCACTTTGAATTATTATTAAATGTGCGATAAAATTAAATAAATATTAAATGACAAATAAGAAACTCCTAAAAAAAACTTACATTTTTTGAAAAAGGAAATAAATTTTTCAAGTCTAATAACAAAGTTACAAAATCATCATTTAATTCTATAAAAATAATTTATATAAATAAATAAAATAAACAGCTATATCTCACCAAATAACTTGACAATAAAACGTTGAAAATTCAATTTCCAAGTCTTATTTCTTTATATTCTTAATCGCTCCAATGAAAAAAAATAATAATACAAAGTAACATTACATTCTGTTATTATTTTGAACCAGATTCTGATGAAATACTAGCACCATCTCTTGCTTGTTCATCGCTTATATTACGAATTTCTACTTTTGTGTGCCTTCTTGAAAGATTTTGTAAATCAGTTCCTTCTTCAGCAAGTTCCTTCTTCATTAATTCTTTTGCTTCTCTCCTCCGTAAACGTTCCTCGCTTGATAAATCCATGCCATCGTCATCATCTTCTTCAGGCTTCCAATCCGGTTTTCGCAATACTTTACGAAATGCATCCGAAAGAAGTGCAGCATCTGAAGCGGATATTGGTTGATTCTCATTAGATACTGTGGATTTCGGTTTTAAGCGTGTATCTTCTTTCATAGCAAGTGGAGTTGTGGAATGAATTGATTCGGCTTCTATAGGGGATTCAGAATCACGGTTATTACTTCTGAATTTGCCAATAGATAAAGGAGCAACCATTGGTGTACTTGAAGATGTAGAAAGATTAGAATGACTTTTATGCTTATTATGATGACTGGATCGTCTTTTACTCCTGATAGCAATTAAAACCGCAATAAAGGCTAACAGTGCAGCGAGACTAGCCACTACTATAACGGCTATCAACACTTTATTTTCGGATTTATCTTCCTGAGCCTCCGAATCATGTGGTGATGTGATAACTGGAACTACCGCTGTTGGAACTGTTTGAACTGTTTGAGTTTCTAAACTTGTTGTTGTCGAATTCAATAAATCCGGTTCTGTAAAAGTTAAAAATTTTCAATATACCTTACTATATATATATTAATAAAGTTGAGAATTCAAAAACAAGTTACTTACGTATGACTTTAAATTGTGGGGTAGAAAAGCTTAAATCATATTCCTTGCCAGAGCCATTTGGAATAACCCTGAAAAAAAACAAATGACTTTTAGGCGGGTTTGAATACTCATCTACAGGTATCCATCTAGGCTGAACAGTTATGTTAATAGAGTTGGAGATCCTGTTAGCTGCGAGATAATTGAAATTTCCAGGATCTAACGATACTAACACTTCATATGCAGTATCTTGCCGTATTCTAAAAAGATATATTTGTACTTTATTTTGACCGTTAGAATCAAATAGATTAGCATTCGCGTAATTCCAACTCAGTAAAACATCATCATTAATTCTATATTCTTCGCCTTCTTTAGGATTACAAAACATTTGATCTATCGTAGCTTCACCAGGTTTATATGGGTCACATATTGCTAGAATAATAAAATGTATATTGTATTAGGTCTAATTGAATTTAAAAATAAATAATTTAAAGGAAAAGACCAAGTGTCAGCCGAAAATGATAATATATCAAATTTTCCCGAACTTTACCTTAAAATAATTGGAATGTCGTGAAAAAAAAAAAAATAATTCACAAAAAAAAACTGAATAAAGAAATATTTAAGTTATAAAAATTCATTATAGAATATTTGGACACTACTTACATTGAACAGGTATTAGTTCTGATAAAATAACAAACAAGAAACATATAACTTTTGCTATAAGAAAGACAAAGGGTTTTGTATTTCTAGAATACGATATTTTTGGATAACTATTTAATAAAATGTCTTTTCGTGATAACATTATATAAAAATTAAAAAGCTATTTAAGATAAAAACATCGGATGAAGGAAAAAAAAAGATTGAATAAGAAATAAAAAAATAATATTAAACTAGAGAATTAATAGAAATTAATATTAATCTGGGAGCTAGGCGTATTGAGTAAGTCAATAAATAAAATTATGGATATATTTATATTTCGGTTAAAATTATAAAAAAATACAATTGTGTAATCAAACAGAAATTCGCATTTCCTTTATTTAAACTCTTTATTTATACGATCATATCCGAATAAAGACAATTGTAATTAGCTAGATTAGCTAGATATAACTTTTTTCCGACGATCCCCAATTCTTTGCTCAAAACAGGAAAAAAGACCCCGATTTTTAAGATTTATCTATCGTCGTCATCATAAAGTCATGAACTGGACAGGAGGAAAAAGGTTTTATTTTAAACCAATTTTTTTTTTTTTACCTAATATTCTAAATGAAAGATTAAAAAAAAAATCACACTTTAGGAATAAGATTAAAGTAAAATCGGAACTTCAAAAGCAAAAGGAATTCTTTAATCGTCAACGGCTTAAAAAAGTACATTCATTTCTCAGTATTGAACAAAGACTTGCACATACTTTATCAAGTATCGAAGTTGTATGCCGTAGCGAAACTACCAATTTATCTGATATGAACGAACCTTCTGATATTGAGTTTCATCAACACACTGAAATTGATAATGATAATATTATTCGAGGTTTCTCAAACATTCATTGCAATTATATATATAATTAACTACATTGTTTACAATGTTGTTTCATTTAAAATTTCCAAGATATCACGAAACGCAAACAATTTCTTTTGCAAGTTAATGATTGGGCAGGTGTTGGATGTTCATCAACCGTAGTGCAGGTTATATCCATTAAATTACTTTATAAATTATTGCTTGGTATTACAATATTCTAAATCAAATTTTTTATAGGATTCGAGGTGATCACAAAAGCATGAATTTAAACGAGATAATATGTCAATATTAATTTTTTAAGAAAAGATTTCCATAGCATAAGTCTCCCGCATGCAAATGTTCGTGGTCAAACAAAATATAACATTGAACTTTTTTTTATCATGTCGAATTTTTATTTAACTAATTCGTTCCAATATTAGATTTTTTTTGCCGTTACCCACCAAAATCTTACTCCCTTGGTCAAAAGTTTCAAAAAATTATATAGTAAATGCATTTTATGTTTGGCTTTTTTATAATTGATTAATAAATCCAAATATTTTTCAAATTTTAATCATACAAATACTTTGACCTGTAATATCTGTAATAAAGTATTATTAAACGTTAAAGATAAACAAATATCGTATGTTGTAGGGTCAACAATTAATGAACTCGTGGGTAGTAGAACAAATCATGTAATAATCAGAAAGAATAAATAGGGAACCAGTAAATAAGAAAATTGACCGGATGGTTCAGAAAATACAAAGAAACATAGGAATAATTAGAAAGATAATATTACCTAGTAATAACGATAATATTAAATTAAAGTAATATATATGCAGAATGAATATAAAATTTAAAACATAAAGGAATAAAGAACATAATTTGTGTGATATAACTTAAAGTATACAGAATAAAATATAATTTATAAATAGGTTTCTGATTTATTATTAAAACCAACGATCCAAAATATTTTAAATTAAAATAATTTAGATAAAAAAAAATTTTCATTTTTTAAAAATAAAAAAAAAAATTATTAAATAACGTTAATATTTATTTATAAATAAAATTTCTAATAAAAGCATAAAATTAATAATTCCAATTTTGTAATTTATATTATAATTTCCTAAATAATATAACTTTGAGTATAAAAAAATTTTAAGTATACCAAATATTATAAAATCATGATAATTTAATAGCTTTTAATATAATATTAATATGTTTAATATCAAAATTTTAAAAATCAAAAATATGTTAAAAAATTAAAAATTTTATTATTTTTTTTTTATTATTGCTATAAAAAATAACTAATTATATGATAATAGCAACTAAAGGGTTTAAACTCAAATTACTATTGTAATTTAAGCTAATTAAACAAAAATTAAATATTTATTATAAATATAATAAAAAATTAAGCAGAAATATTTCATATTACTAATGTTGTTTGATATATTTTCTAATAGCTTATACTAATATATAAAGAGTTACGCAACAAAAAAAAATTTGACATAGCATCAAAAATTAATAAAGTATAGCAAAAATAATCAATGCAGATCATACTTAAATAATCTATGAAGAAAAGAATAATCAAGATTAAGAATTAAATCACCTAAAAATTATTATACAATAGTTAGACAATAATGAATATGAATTAAAGATGCCAGCTGAAACTATAAATCCTTGAAACTTCTGAACTTCGAAATTAATTTCAGTGATTTCAGAGATGGGATAACAATTTAACTGTAACCTGAAACAAGTTTTAGAGTTTCGGAGATATAATTATTAATAAATTATATAAGTTTTGAAGTTATAGAGATATATTTTTTAGTTAATTAAATAAGTTTTGACAGTTAATTTTGATTGGATATTTTAAAATCACATGAATTTTTCAGAAAATATAAAATATGATTTTATAATAAACGTTATGTCATTTAAAGTTATTTGAAGATTATTTACAAATACTGATTTATAATCTTTTTTTATTTTATTTGATAAAATAATACGTTAATAATAGAAAACTTTTACATTTGCGTTAGAGTTATTGTATACAAAGAACACTATTAAGCATATAAAATCACGTTCATTCCAAAAAAAAGAAAAATTAGTAAAAAGGAAAAATCCACCTTAAATAATCCTTTAAAGAACCCTAAAGAAGACTTACCTTCTATCTGAAATAACGAAAGATTCTTCTAAAAAAAGAAGAAGTAATTAATAAAAAAGAATGAAACCCATCCCCTAAAAATCCTCTTAAAGAAATTTATCTCCTATCTAAAAAAGAACGAAAAGATCCGCTTCTAAAAAAAAAGAGAAAGTTAGTAAAAAGAATGAATCCACTTTCTAAGAATCCCCTAAAAATCATTTACCTTCTATTTGAAGAAAAACGAAAGATTCGCTTCTAAAAAAAAAAGAAGAGAAAGTTAATAAAAAGAATAAAACCTATCTCCCAAGAAATTCTCCAAAGAAAATTACCTCCTATTCGAAGAAAAATGAAAGATTCACTTCTAAAAAAGGAAGAGGAAGTTAGTAAAAAGAATGAAACCCATCCTCTAAAAATCCTTCCAAAATAACTTACTTCTATCTGAAAAAGAACAAAAGATTCGCTTCTAAAAAAAAAAAAGAGAAAGTTAATAAAAAAAATGAATCTACCTTCCAAAAATCCCTCAAGGATCACTTAACCTTCTATCTGAAGAAAAATGAAAGATTTGCTTCTAAAAAAAGAAGAAAAAGTTAGTAAAAAGAATGAAACTCACCTTCTCAAGAATCCTTTAAGAATCACTTATTTTATATTTGAAGAAGAACGAAAGATCCGCTGGCATTATCAATTTCTAAAAATTGATTTTAAATTTAAAAAAAAAAAAAAGAATAAAATAAATTAAATTTAAAAAAAAAAATTATATGTTTCAATCAAAAAAGAAAAATTGATTAATCAAATGATCGAATTCCATAAGCTTTATAAAATAAAGCAAAATTTAACTAGAGTATCGAGATCAGATATATTTAATGAAGTTGATGAGAATGTTTAAGCATATATTGAGGTTCTATAATGGGTAAATATTTTGATTTTCTGACGATTTTGTAAATATGAACGATAAATTTGAAATTGATGATAATGGTAAAGTAGTAAATATAAAATGTTGTTCAGATCCAGAACTTTTTGATAGTAATTACTTATTCTTAGACCACTAAAGAAAAAAAAGTATAAAGAGATAAGTTTACCAATTGATGTCTTTATCTGCTTCATGTAAAAAATCTAACACAGGTCGAACGCTGATAAATCAGGTACCTTTCCGATTGGTCACTATTTTTTGATTAGCAATCAATAGATAGAAATCAGTAGATACTACAATCAGGTATAAATCGGTTAATACCATAATCATAATTATTAGGTAGAATTACATAAATTGGGTTTCAGCCCGATTTATACTTATTTTTAAAAATTTATAACTATATGTTAAATAGTAACAAATCGGGTTCAATTAATAATTAGTTATCAA